TAATAAAAAACTATTTTAAATAGTAGTAATTTATTAATAGAATAAAGTATTACAGAACTATATTCGTTATTATAACAAAAACTCCAAGAAAATATCTGAACAAGTTGAACAACTCAAAATTGGGCATTTTCTTTCACAAAAAAAGTCCCACAAATTTGGTCCTGTGTTGAGTCAAATAATTTCATAATATCCAAATCAAAAGAACAGAACATCTTTTGCTCACACGTCATCAAATAATAAAATGAGTTCATTGACTTTTTGTGAGAACTCTAAACAAGATAGGATGGTTAAATTAACTAATGCCCTCTATTTGGTATTAGGAGTGTTATTTCTCCAGGCCCTCTTACGCACATCACAGACGTATGCCCCATTCATTGCAAATGATACTCGTCGACTCACTTTTGCCAAAGAAACTGGTTTGCGCGTCATCTCAGGGTTACACTTGGACTATTTGAAGGGTAATCTTTTTACTTTGGCGTCCTCTTTAGTCGCCGTTTTCATTTCTTTGCTGCTTATGGTGACTAAACACAACTTCATCGCAACACCATTTTTGTTCGTGTCAGTCGTCATCTTGCACTTCGCGATTTTGACTATAGACAACGACTCTGTAAAACTGATAGATGATGCTGCCGCCTTTGCGTTAAAAGTATCGAGTTTTCCAGTCTCACAAATTGGGGGGTTGATATTACAGTTCTTCCACATATTGTCTGAAGCACTTCCAGTGGCAAAGGGGTATATGACAATATGGATTAACGCCTTCAGTGGCTCTAAAATTGTATTTCCAAGTGCCTTACTTTTTGTTCTAGCCTTTGGCTTGATCAACAAGAAGATGCAACTCGCAACATGTTTATTTGTACCGACACTCGTGTTCTTCTTATTTGGTTTAGATGTGACGGCAGAATTTTCTAAGACGAATGGAACATTTGTATCAATCCAACTTCTCTTGTTATCGGTATTTCTCTTAGTGTGTCTCTTCAATGGGTTTCTTCAAATCGAGGCTTTCATATTAGCCCCAATTTACATCGTCTCAATCATATTCGCTTCGCAACAACTCATGTTATTCATTTCCACATTAATTGCCATTCCAAAGTTTTCTCTTGACATTCTCTTCGTCACAATTTACATCATGTTGTTCTGTTTAATCTTCTTCAAGAAGATCGGGTCATCTCTCGTGCCAGCGTTCCTCGTGTTCTTAGCTCTTAGTGTGTTGCTCGGTACTATACCAATCGTCTATTTAGTCCCAGTGTTCTTCTTCACACACTCCTTTGCTTCGTAATACACTTCTTTTTACTTCTTGTCGAGTAATTATTATAATACATTTTATTATAATAATATAATAAATTGGAGTTTGGTCATAAATAGTACATTGAAACTATAATTATAGTACTTTAATTCATAAGAGTGGTTTTGGGTGGTTTGGTTGGTCCTCTACAGTCGCCATTTGTCTTGCCTTTATTCTTTAAGAACGCCTTCCATGATGTTACCCGTTGTTGTCGAGAATTTTCCCAGTCGTCCTCCTCTTTCTTCTTTTTCTTTGCGATTTCTTGTTGGTATTGCATTTCCTCCTTCTCGCGTTTAAGATTTGCTTGTCGCATTTTCTCGGCGCGTTGAATCTTTTCTTCTGTGTCAATGATGATCTTCTGCGAACGCTCTGCTATCCGTTTTCTGTACTCTTCACTCTTAAAATCAATCGTCTCGCCACGCTCTTTCAGCTCTTTACTCAGTTCAATTCGCGATTGCTCGATAATGTCAGTGTATTTTCTTCTTTGGTCTTCGTCTTCCAACGCTTTCATAGCCAGCGACAAACACGAAATAGCGGTATCTGCCAGTTGGTGATGACATCTATCTGGATGGCACATGAGTGATATCTTTCTATATTTCTTTCTGATCTCTTGATTTGATTCTTCGGGGAGTACATCAATTATATCAAACGGATTTTTGTACGTCGTCACTCTTTTAAGCATTTCAAGTGTTTTTGGTGAGACGTGGTGTTCGTAATCGATTTTCGTCATTTCAGATTTCTAGTTTCAAATACTAAAAAATTCAATACACATTGGAAACCAAAAAAAAACTATACTTATTAGTTACGAAACCACTGCTGATTGATTACAAAACATGAGTGTCCATCTGGTTGTCGAGTGTGACTGCAAGGTGTGGGTTGTTCATGATACATTCCTCGTTCAATTTTTCATCAAGGCCCTCCATTTTCTGGTGGATCACATCAACCAATTGACTCAACTCGACATTTTCAAATTCGTTTTGAGCAATTCCCTTCGTTAATCCGACATACACTATATCCAATTTTTTGACGTTTTCAATGTAATAATCCTTCACATAATTCTCCTTGGCAATTTCGTCTTTCTTCTCCGTGTCAACCAAATTTGCCATTGTGGCATCATTAAATATAGGAAAGACAGCAGAGGAACAACTCTTCTCGATGACTCCAGTGTTGATCTGAACCTTAAACGGTTTGACAGTCTTACGAAAAACTTCTTTGGACCGCTCGATGACGGCTTTACACTCCGCTACACATGCCACTTCCCCTTCTTTACAGAGTCTCTCCGATATCGCGTCGATGCAATTCGCAACATCGCTACAGGAATCACCACCACGTTCCCGCATCGGTAACCCAATGCCGTTCACCATTTGCGCGGCAACTAACCGACACCCTTTGGCAAACACTTCACCTTCTAGGAGTAACAGTTTATCGATATTTCGCTGAATGCAGTCACAGTTGTCGCAAAGAGTTTCTGCAGTGTCGCTCATGACGATTTGCATCACCAAGAATGTTTGTTGAATAACATCAGAGATGGCGTTTTTAATATCTGTGAAAGTAAGGGAGTTGACTTTTGAAGTGAACTCCGCAACAATTTTCTTGAGATCGTCGAGCTTTGATGTTGTCAACTCTTTAATGGATGGGTGGACCAAATTGTCGCACTCGGCTTCGACTATCGAACACAATTTACTAATAGGATCGTTCAACGATTTGACGTTTTCACTCACTTGCTCGACTAACTTCTGGTACTTGTCTGGTGGAAGTTGCTTTGCGTTGGTTTCTATGATCGAAGCGGAGCGCAAACAGACCGTTCCGTACTCGCAGACATGAATCAAAATATCTTGAAATGAGCGGTGGTGATCGTTTCCCATGTCCAAGTGAAAGCCTTCAATTAATATAGTCGCTTGGGTGTTTTCCCACGACATTTTGTGTATGTTTTAAGTTCTTTCGAGTTCAATAACTAAACTAATGGGATTTTATGTCAAGAAACAATCCATGTTATTAAATGATATATTATTTAAAAGAAAATACTATACAAGTATTGCTTTTAAAAATAGAATTAATTATTAAACTCATAGTAATCCCATGTAATTCATTGTGTGTTTTTCTGTTTTTGTCTCAAATGATTATACATTTTTTATTATTTTTGTTTTTTGATTAAAACGTGTTGTTTGTGGGTTATCATATTTAGTTTTGCCATCTGCTTTTAATAAAAACAATTGAAAAAAGAAAATGTTTTTTAAGTCGGAGAAATATGGTTTGTTTAAACTATATTTTACTATATAGTATAACGGAAATAAAATTGTATTTATAGTTAAACTTTGTTATTTATTATTCATTTTATAATTCAATAAGTTCCGTTAAAAAAATATGAATTATTCAAAAACAATGAAAAAGAAAAATGTATTATTATAATATTATTTAATTATTATAATTGTTATTTCCAACTTTATCCAATTTTATTAGATAAAAACAAATTTAATTTTACTTAAAAAATTAATTAAAATCACACACAAACAAAACCAATACTACTAATACAACAACAATCAAAACTTTTTAAACTTTTTGATATTTCTTTTTGGTAAATCGAAATGTATATCATTGTCTAACTTGGTGACAGAACGCCCCAACAATTTAAAGAAAGTGGCAACATTCCTATGGTTTTGGAGATATTTAGTCTGATACCCTTCCTTTTTGTCTGTTTTTAAAAATTGAAGTGATTCTGGGATTTGTTCCAAATCGAATACCGAGCTAAGTACAACAAGTTGCTTAACTCTCGAATTAATCAAATTGGATGCTTTCAATTCATACTCTTCAAAACAAACCACTTCACATGATTGTGGGAAAGTGATGACACTTGCATATCCACTTTGGAAACTGATTTGATACAATGTTTTATAATATTGTAAATAGATTTCCGTTACCATATTTTGGACAATACTAAGCGACTCCAAGTTATCTGGAAAATACGTGTTCTTAGCCCTTAAATCATACACGATAAGTTCCTTTAATTTTTTATACTCTAATAAATTGGTCGAGTCGTCACACCCTCGTAATACAAGCCGAGTGATGGTGTCACTTCTTTCTGGTATAATTGTGTAAAGGCACGTCAATTGCTCTAACTTTTTGGGGAAAAAGTCTTCGGCCTTTACGTCTATGTGACACCGGTCCACATTGAGGACTTTGAGTTTTGTCAAGTTCTTTAAACTGATTGAAACAACGTCAGTTCTAAGTGTCAGTTTTGTCAACTCAGAAAACAAGTCCAAGTTGTACCGTTGCATATCGACTCGGTTCAAACAAAGCTCTTTAAGGGCATCACAGTCAATCATGCGAATTTGCTCGCGTTTTGAAATGGACAGTGAAGTCACTGTTTTTGGTAAGGTCTCGACTTTATTTGAAAACCCGAGAATGACATTCTTTAACTTGACATGTGTACTATTAACTGGTATATTTTGTGCGTCGAGTTTTTCGACTGTTTCTGGTGACAAAATTTGAAGAAATTCGTTTTTCACTTGCAAATGAGTCACTGACAATAACTGACTCAAATCGACATTAAACTCAAAATCAGTTGAACTTGGCGTTGTAACGAATGCCTTGAGGGGTAAATACTTATTAATAAGTTTATGAGAAACCTTTTCATTGGGGCATACTCTTATCTGCATCTCACCAAACTGCGTTGATATGATGACTGATGGGTTGATGCCATAGAACCACTTATGGAATGTTACAATCCCGATGTCAAGAATGTTTGGCACTGCCATCACATTTTTGAGAACGTTAATAGTTTTAGGCTCGAGGACGACTTTCTTAAAGTGGAGGTGCTGCAAATTCTCAAAAAATCTGAGTGGAGGTGTTTTACTTAGAAACACCCTCAGAAAGTCGTAGTACCTTTGAACACCAAAAACTTTGAATAGATTGTCTTCACAACCAGTGGTATACTCAAATGAGACTTTTCTACACTTCATGAAGTTATTTTTAAAACAGAACCGCCGGTCGTCCATGTCAACTGCAACATCTATTAATTTGTTTTGTATAGTTTTGTCTACAGAAAATACATCACATACCAAAGGAACGTCTATTTGGTCTGCGTTGTTTAAAAATGGAACTAAATTTATTTGGCCCGCTGGGATTGAAAGTGTCTGAATGTTTGGAAATAAGAGTAATTCCTTCACAAGGGATATCTGCTCATCAATACGGTATGTCGGTTCTGATATGCCCGGATGACGCAGAATGGGTTTATACAATGGGTTTTTCTTAAGAATGTCAACACTTATCTGGGCTGACTTGGATATTTGTATAAACATTTGGGCAGTTTTGTAAGAGTCAAGGTACATAACCACATTAGCCAAAAACACAGAGGCAAGGCGTGTCATTAGTCGTTATCATTTTTTGTTCGTAACATGGTTCAGGAAATTTTTTTTTTGCTTGAAAATTATTTTGGTCTTTTTTTTTATGTATTTTAAAACTTTCATCTTCAGTTTGATCAAAACTATTGGATTATTATATAATTATTATTAATATTGGTAATACAATATTTTTTTGATTTTTTTATAGATTTATTATTTAGTATTTAAATGGTTTAATACTAGTTAAAATAGTATTAAACTGTTTTAAAAATTTTTTTATTTATTTTAATAAAAGTATATATTAAAATAATTAATTATTATTCATCTATAATATATTTTATTATATTTTATTGTTTTTCTATAGTAAATATATATAATTAATATATTAATTAAATTTGTAAATCATGGAGTAAAGACAATCCAAATAAATGTTTAACTTTTTTATTTGTTTTTTACTCACAACAAAGGTAAAACTCCTTTTTTGGACAATAACATTTCAATAACAAAAATTAAAAATAGGGTTAAATCAAAATAAAATATAACTCGTAAATCAAATGAGACGGGTTTTAAATTCAAAAAAGATCCGTTAAATGAACTATCCAAATCCATGAAAAAATACCAAATAACAATGGATAGTACAATACAAGTAAATCAACTCAAAGAAAACATCTCGATGTTATCAGTATATGACTTGAAGAAAATAATAAAATATAAAAAAGAAACAAATAAAAAAGTGAAAACTTTATTGGTGAAAATTGAAGAAGTAGAACAATACATAAAAAATAAAATAACTGTCAATTAGAAAACAGTAAATAATAATGAAATCGAAAACAATTGTTAAAATATTATTAAAACTAGGGGTTCAAGAAAAGGATCGGCAACAACAAATAAAAATGACAGACCTATTGTATTGAAACATGTTTCAAAACAAAATTGTGAAATTATCGTGAAGTTGCTACAATTAAGAGATGAACTAAGTCATGAATTTAAAACAAATTAAACAATAAAACGAAATTGGTTTAACCAAATACAAACCTTAAGTTGATTAACCAAATGAATATGATAGTAAATGTCACAAAACAGTTATCATGAAATCGTATTGTTTGGAAACCATATTTTAAAAATAAAAATATCGATTCTGTATCAATAAGTACACTTTAAAATATATTTAATGATATAAATCCAAAAATACAAAAGAAAAACGTATTAAGAACTATTTCAAAAATAAAATGTACAACTGAAGAATATAATTAATTAATATTTTTGTTGGAACAATAGATAGAAACCAAATAATACAAAGGTTGTGTCAACTTAAAACATCAGATTATGATAGTTTTCTTTTATATTTATTCTAAATTGTTATATGAAATCCAAAGAAGTTGCGTTTTTTGTTTGTTAATAAAAAGCTGCATATTTCAAACAAGTAAGAAAAATTGAAAAGATTTTCAAATTAAAGAAACAACAAAAGTTGTTTATATTACTGATAATTGTAATCTAAAGAATGAATTAAAAAATAAAATTGACTTTTCGGCGCTATATTCAACCTTTAAATATATTAAGAGTTAAACATAATTGATTCTTTTTGCTGTTGTTATTTGAACTTTATTATCATAAAGGTTGAGGATTACCAAAAAAATGTCCAAAATCTTCACAATATATTCATCAATTATTAAAAGGATAAAATAACAATGACCTTAAATAGCTTTTTGAATAATATTTATTTTCTTGTGTTTTTGAATTTGGATTATTTAATTATTAAAATGGTTTTTTATATTAAAATTTTATTATTAAATTTTTGAAAAAGCAGAGTGTTTACACTAAACTTCTGTATTTTATTTTTTGAAAATTTTAATCCTTTTTTATTTTATTGTTTTATACTTGGCATTTTTAGACTTTTTCTAAATATTAACAATAAGTAAATTATGTTTTATTATGCTATATTTATAGACCAAGTTTTTTTATTTTTGAATATATTTAATTAGTATAATTAAATGATATTTTAATTAAATTATATAAAACATTGTTTTTATTTGATTCTTCGTTATTTTTTATTTATAACAAACTATGAAGTAAGTTTTTAATTTAAAGTAACGACAATCCATATATTATTATTATAAAACTATAATAAACTATAAATAATAATAATACCCAATAATATAAGCCCAACATTTTTTTTTACTTTTGAAACTGAAGAAATGTTGAAATTATTTTAGTTATATTATTTTTTATTAGTAAAAATTGATGGAATTTAGTAACGTAATATTCAAAACTACAATAAAAAACATGCTGTTTACATCTACTAATATTCAGGATAATAAACAAATATTTGTTTTTTTCAACTATTATTAGTTTAAAAAACAATTTGAAATTTTTTTTTAATGTTTCATTGGTTTTTTTATTGAATATGAATTTTTGTAAAAGCGAAAAGGTTGTTTTCCAAATAAAGAAAAGTAATTTATAACTACAAAACCAAAAATTATACGTACAAATGTCAAGCTCCACACCTCAGCAATCCGAACAACCTGATAAGGATAAAAAGGTCGGTGTCATAAGCCGGATGAAGAAAGCTGGATTTGACCCGATTTCGAATAAGATTATGCAAAGTATGAGTGCAATAAAAGTCACAAAGCTAACCTCCACTTTGAAGTTCCATAAATCACCCAAACACACACTGGTTAAAATTTTTCATGTTTTACAAAGTTCGTACATCGCCAGCTTTATATTATCAATCGACTTTATTCTCAGTTTGTCGTTGTGTGTGACGCATGTTATTACAACGTACTTTACCGATAAAAATGTTTTGAACAACTTCTTGTTTTACGACTTTATAGTGAATTGCTACTTTCTTGCTACCACTTTCTATCAAATGGTGCTCTTTATTTTCAAAAGACAGGCGAGTGCGTTTGTGGCAATGATTATGTGTGTCATTACATTTATACCAATTTGTTATTATCAAGTCACTGAAGAGAGTATATTCAAGAATTGGAGTGAACACTCTCATATATATTCTTTGAGTTTTGTTCGTATCATATACAGCAATGTCCTTCTTGGAACCATTATCAACTTCTTATGGGTTGGTAAAGACCAAAAATTTTATGACATTGTATCCACAGCTGTTAAAGCGTTATTCACGATATTCACACTCTTATTTTTTTCCTCGAATTTGTTCCACTTCCTTGAAGGTTTTGATCCGGAGTCTGCGTATCACGAGTGGCACAATTGTATCTATTTTTGTGTGGTGACTGTTACAACAGTTGGTTATGGTGACATAGCTCCCAAGTCTTTACTTGGCAAGATATATTGTATATTTTATATCATTATGTTCTTCGTCATCTTTCCAGTCTATGTGACCAAACTCACATCTTCGCTATTCTCGTGGAAAAAGAAGAAGACGTATAAATTCATGAAAAACCACTTTGTGTATACTGGTGATGTTGAGGTCCTTCCTCTATTAGTGAATTATCTTAAAACGGATTTGGTTGCAATTCTTCCTACCTTCACATGTGATCCCGTGCAAAAACGGGCGTATAAATGGCACTTCTATGAAGGTGAGAGTTCTGACGAATTAGATCTTAAAAACATTGCAGTTGCAAGAGCGAAACGAGTCATGGTTACTTCGGATGGCGATGATATGCTGACGTATTTACGATGTGAATTAATACGATCATACTCCAAAAGTTATATTGTGTGTTATTTGAAGAATGATTACATGAACGACCTGTTTTCCCGTCTTTCAGTGGATGTTATCAATGAATCAAATATGTTAGTTCTAATGGTCGGTGAAATTTGTACAACACACTACATTGAGGCGTTTCAATCAATGTTTTCGATGACCAACAAACCACATGTGAACATTTTGAGAAGCATGAAAGTGCCACAACAGTCTGTTGGCAAAGAGTGTCGAGAAATTGTTAAGGCCATGTTACTCGACTTTTCAGTCCTTGTGGTGAGTATTGAAATTGATGGCAACATGGAGTACTTTGACTCAATGAAACTGGTCACAAACGACTCGTACATGTTTGTACTCTGCACACTAAACAAGTACACAAAACTTCGGAATCAGATGAAAGACGCCAAAGAGAAAACAAAGAAGAGCAAAAAGTCTCAAAAGGACAAGTCTATTGACAAACCCAAATCAATGAAGACACAGATGATTGCTGACAACGCTAATGATGAGAATATACAAACAACAAAGGACCAAGAAGACACAAAGGTGGAAACAATTACTAAGTTTGAAGGAGACAAACACTTTGTTATATTTGGATATCATGAAGGTGTGTTTCTGGTCTTAGAGAAGCTCCGAGAAAGAACGAAGAGCTCCTTAGTCGTCGTTGTTGAAAATTTGGAAGCAATTCAGAAGGATTGGAAACGCATTAAACAACTTGGAAACGTCTTTGTATATATTGGGGATGTGTTATCATTAACTACGTATACTAAGGTCAAACTTGCGAAGTCAATTGGTGTTTCTGTGATGTCTTTTGACCCGAAAATAGACTCAAAGACTATTGTGGTGACCAAACTAATTCAAGGATTTATTAATGAGAGCAGAGAGGAAGAAACATATCAACAAAACCACTACATCCACATCACATGTGAAATTAACGACTTTTCCAATTCGAAATTTGTGAAACGGTTTGCTAGTCCGTTTTCTAAGAATTGCATATATGAGATGTTGAGTAATATGTGTTATTATAAAAAGAACAGCCATGTGTGGAACGACTTAATTGGTGTGACAGGAACATACGGTATTACCAAGGTGGATGTCCCTGATGAATTGGTTGGTGCACAGTTTAGTGAGATGTTTGGTTTGTTGTTTGAGAATGGGATAAAGTGTCTGGGTGTTTTAAAGAGTAAAGGGAATAAAGGTGTCAGAAGTCTTGTCATCAAGAAAAAGATGGTACTTGAGAAAGATGACGAAGTCTTTTGTATTGTTGGGATCAAACAGATTGAAAAGTGCAACGAGCAGATTAAGGCAATTTCAGTTGGGAGCGAAGATGGAGAGATCGAAAGAAAACCAACAAAGATGCACACAATCAATACAGCCGTCTGTACTGAAAAGGATTCAATTTTTGATAAAGAAGCACAAACCACAAAGGACCAAATCGTTGTGAAAGTTGAAGACTCCGACGACGACAAGAGTGAAGATAGCGAACAGATGGGTACTAAGAACAGACTAAACGAAAAGTCAGTTTCTTCTGAAGAAGGATCTTGTGACTAGAAAGTCCATCTTCGCATGATTAATTATCTAGTTTCATAAACTAATAACTGCACTTCATTTTTCTTTGTTGAAAATGATATTTATTATTATTATAATGTAGTTAGTTATAAGTTATTAATTTATAATTATAGTAATAAAAAAACTAATAAGTTCAATGCCACGTAAGAGTAAGAAGGATGTCACAACCACCAACGAAGATACTCCTTCCAAAAAAAAAGAGGTGGGAAAAAAGACGACTATAAAACAAAAGGTGAAGGTTGAAACAAAAACAGAGAATAAATTGCCAAAGGAAAAAAACACAGTGACTTACATTGGGTCGGTTTTGCTTGGGTTATCTGAGCTTCAACTTGTGGTACCGTATTTACAAAATGTGAAGTACGCCAAACGATTTTTGAGAGTATCAAAAAAAGCACAACAAGCTCTCATGTTGCTCAGAAAAAATGTCATATACCCAACAGAACTATTGGAAGTATATCCAGTACCCCAAAAGAAGTTTTCAGTGAGTGACTTTTGTAATACCACTTTTATAGAATCACCATTTTGGCAGGCGGAGTTTGTCAAAGCATTTACTTTGATTCCAGAGGTGACGATCCTTGAAATTCCATACTCACTGTTATTTACGTTTCGAGTACCGGAATCAGTCCAAGAAATTCATGTGACAGACAGCCCCCAAAAATACACCGACAAGGTAACGAACAATTTTAAATTGTTTGCAAACAAAATCACATCATTTTGTGCAACAAACGTGTCGGAACTCATGTGTTACAAAAATGTTGAACGGTTCTCGCATGTAAACTTTGCATATTATAAATTAATAACACCCACTAATTTCCCAAAGTTGAAGTATGTGCAATTTGATGTAAACAAATATACACTCACTGAAAAGGTCGTCCGTGCATTTACGCAAGTCATTTCGGAATTCAATTCGCTGAAAGTTGTTATTGTGTCAAACGACCATGAGAATTATAATGGGACTTATCATCTGTTTGACAAAAGAAATGTGACGCTGTGTGTCAGAAATTTCACACTACAAATGATGAACACAAAAGATTTGATTCTTCTCGACACAAAGAATTTTAAAGTTGAAGACTTTCATTCAAAAAACACACGGCAGCTCATATGTAACTACTTCGACAAGTACATGCCTTTTAATATTGTGATGACAAGTGGTAGAAACGTTTACGATGCGTCTGTTCGACGTATTGATTTGTCTAAATACCCATTTTATGGGTGTTGTCAGTTGAATAACATTTATGGGTACTCGTTCGACATTCCACAGAACGTTGATGAAATAGTTATGAAGGACAGTGTCTCTTTAATGAACTTAGAAAAGAGCAACATAAAGAAACTCACTGTTCCAGTTAATTACAACATTCCACTTGTTCTACCAAAGACTTTAAAAGGATTACAATTCCCAACTGACGTTGTCAATACAGTAGAAAACCTGGGAGAGATTCAATTTGAGGATCTTGGGATCGACGTTGTGAGGAAATTGAGTGTGTTACCCGACTCTTTAACTTCATTGAAAATAAGAATTACGTCATACTCACCATCACTGGTGGGATTGACCAATTTGAAGGAATTTCGAAGGTGTGGACAAAACAAAAGAGATCGATTTGAATTTCCTGAAAGCTTGACTGAGCTTCATATGGTCAACTTCAACGGGGATTACTCGGACGGATATGACAGTACTATCAAAAAGTTGGTTCTAATCAACTCGAAAATTCCACCAAAGAGCGACAACATTAAAACCCTGATGGTGCGGTGGTTCTATATTATACACAATGACATCAACTTAAACCAATTTGTTCGAACAAAAGAACTTCATTTAAACCTTGTTGGTGAGGAAGTCCAAATAGCTTTTCCGTTAAATTTGCGTAAGCTGTTTCTTACAAACGCAAAAATCACAAATATAAATTTGGAGTTGTGTACTAAACTCGTAGAAATCTGTTTTGACACCGTTTTCTACGAATCACTGCACTTGCCAAAGTCTTTAAAATTCATCAAGATGACAAACGTCCCAATTTATGAAGACATGTTTGACGTGTTTTATAATTTAAAAAATCTTCAAGTGGCGTTCTTGCCAGATGTTACGGAGTTTCCAAGAGGCTGTCTTGTCCCATGTACATTGAGTGGGAGTTATCCTTCGAGGGATCCGTATCGTGCTGAAGAAGAAATATTTCGCAGAGGAATTTTTTCGATTTTTTCTTTGACGCCGTGATAATATCATAAGATATTCTTCATATATCAACACTCTATAGGCATTCTGATCTAATGAATTATTATTATTTAGTAAAGTATTATTAAACATATAATATATAAAAAAGCTATAAAGTATAGTTCATTTATTACTAAATTTAGAAACCTCATCGCAAAGAGTCTGGAGCCCATCGACAGGCTTCTCTGGCATTGAAGTGAAGAACTGAGATAGGTTAAGCCCGAATTTATCTTGGTACTCCCCTGCCTGAACACACATTTCGATTTTGTCAAGTTGAGCACAAAACTTAGCCACATCCGTTTTCTTCTCTTCAAACTCCTTCCAGCAATTGACTATTTCTTCTCCCCGCTCCTTTGGAAGTAGTTTAGACATCTCCATTATTGCTTTCTACTGTGTTAATTTCTTTCAAGTTGAAATGGAATTTGTATAACATTTTGGATAACACAAACCAGTTCTCTTTCGTGTTTGTCCTCAGGAGTGACTGGGTCGTGTGGTGTGATGTCACCAACTATCGCCTCGGCCATGTCGTGGCACAACGAAACCATCACTGCATGGGACCGGTCGATTGTTGGTGGCGCAAGTATCATCGCCATGACAGCCATTCGATACATGTGGTCGCTTATGCTCTCAGGATTTGGCACTTTGCAATACACCCACCCGGTTCGGGGAGTGTGTTTGAGTTTGTCTATTAAATGCAAAAATTCGATGATGTGTTGTGCGTCTTCCATTGGTATTTGAATGGTTTTTAATTGAAGTTTGATTTTTCAATTAATATAGTTTTAATACTATATTAAATAGAATTTGTTTTGTTGTCATTTGTATTATACTTTATGATAAAAATGTTAAAAAATAATAGTACAACTAAGTCACATAAATTACAACAACACCTCATAGAGTTGTTTGTCTGTTGGTGAAAAGGCACTTGGCGTGTAAAGACCCCAGTCGAAGTTGTCCTTGCAAAGTGTGGTGTTTTTTCTGTATTTCTGAATTTGGTTGATAAGTCCGACTAAAGTATCTTCATGTTGATCGGGAAAGAAAGTGTTGCCATGTGGACTGATGACTGAATCCCAAACATAAAGGTGCGTTGCACTTGTTGAGTTCTTAAAGGTAATTAAAGTCAAGTTCAGTGTGAACCCCCGTTCAATTAAAACAGAAGCTAAAAAGTTGGAAAATGCAGCTTCTCTGTTTCTACAGACTGTTATCATCGTCTTGGGCTTATTGTCATTATTTCTAACTTCGTCTTTGACACTTGATAATTTGTTAAAATTGACTGATAGCTGTGAAGCTTTTGTTTTTCGTGCCTTTTGAATTAAAATGTTCATCTTGCGACAAAAAGTGTTTGACAAAAACTCCATGTGATCTGGACTAAACACACGGTCTTTAAGAATTGCCTCTTTACCAATTAACACCTTAAGTGCATACGTGGATTGTTTCGACTTCTTAAAGGTGATTCTTCCTTCTTCCCATAGAAAGTGGTATATCAGCATCGCAGTGGAAATTGCGCGTTTGGAGCGAGACTGAAATGAATGTGCTTCACGGCTCATCAAATGGAGGTTCAAAGTGGTATTAATTTTGGGTTCTTATTACAAAAGGGTAATCATTGCAGTTATATTGGTGAAAATCAAATACATTTAACCATTAAATGGGTATTCTTGTTTTTTGGTTATTATACTCTTTAAATGTCTCTTCGTTAAATTATCATTTTTATTATCGTTTCTAATCGAATAAATTAGTTAATATATCAGATAAAACACGTTTTATTGACAAGAAAATAGTGAAAAGGCAAATACTTAGAGATTGTATAAGTTTGTGACATTATTAGAAATTTGTTACAATTATCAAATGTTTATTTTATTAGCAGTTTTGAAAAATTTTTCAATTTTCTTTTTAATAAATGTAATTTAAAAAAATGGTTGAATAAATAAAGAAATGAATTTGTTGAGCTCAAAATGTTGAATTATTTCGGGAAATTATTTCAATTTCTATTGCATTTTGCTCTAACAAAAAATGTTTATTATCTGTAAATATAGAGTAAAAAATATTATAATAATTTGTCCATTATATAAATCAAAAATCGCAAATTCCATCAAAATTGTTACGCGTATAAACCATAAATAAATCAATATCAACCAACTTCAATCTGGACATATTTTTGTTTAATTATATTTTAGTCTAAAATTAACTTGAACTATGTTTGGTTTAATATTATTATTTATAATTAAATTATTATATAATTGAACTAATCTGGTAAAAAGGAGTTTAAAATGAAGAAAATAAACTCGAACGAACTCTATATAAAATAATGTATTAAAATATTATTAATAATAAACTTGTTTTAAGTCTACTATTTAGAGATATGAATCAGTAACTTTTGTAATAAATAATTGATTTTCTAAGTTAAAAATGGTACAAAAAGTTGGAATGTGAGTTTCAAATTTTTAATTGTTATAAATTATTATAATTATAATTAAAATTGTTTTATATAAAATAAATTATATATTTACCGAGTAATCCAATGCTTACAGCTAATATTTTTATAGTTTCGATTCAAATTAACACCAACCAACAAACTTTTAATGTCTAGAGCATAGGAATTAAATTACAAATTGGTTTGTTTTTTTTTTCAAACACACTTTTTTTTAATTTTAATTTGAAAAATTTAATGGTTTTCTCATTATATATTTTATTTACCTCGTTTTAAAAAACACCTTTTTCATTCTATAACTTTTTAGCCAGTAACACACAAAATATGTAATAGCTTGTGGTGCTTTTAAAAACTGTCCAGAGGCATAATTCTGTCTGACAACATTAAAAGTCCCCAATTTTCATTCTTCAGAATACTTACTCTTGTAACTATTATGAAAGAAAGTCCATTTCTCAGCTATTATTTAAAAATCCTTATGTCACTACATTCCTTGTTCATACTGGGGGATGCGAATGTGTTCTTTTTGCTTTGGGTTTATTCAATAGTAATCCACTTAAAGTGAATATATGGATAGTTGGTGGAATAAGTGCTCAAACAGAATGTTTAGGTGCGTCTTTAATGCTCCATATTATAGGCAATAGAGCATTAAAAAATTCACTGAACTGAAGAATTTTTTGAATTTATGAACAAAACCAAATATCTTTTCAAATTCACATTTTCTATAATTTTATTTGGATTGTTATTGGAATTAATAAAATAAAAGTTATTATATTAAAATAATAATAATAATGATTTATTTTATTAAAATACTACGTAAATTATGAATAATTATAGTTTGACCTTTATATTATTTAGTTGTTGTGTAACTAATAAATTTAATTTAATAATAATATTCAACGCAAAAAAATAAAAATACTTTGTGAATTTTTATTTTTTATATAAATGTTGTGCTCTTAGTATAAAAAATCGGGAATAAACCTCATAACAAATAATTCACAAAAGAGAGATAATTTTTTTCAAAATTCAACGATTAGGTTATATGACTTCATATTAGCAAATCAAAAGGAAATAAAAGGTTTCGAACTTCAAAAAAATAAAATGGAGAACATAAACGACTTAATTCAGAAAGCTTTTGGAAACGCTTCCGTGAGCCCTACTGTGAAAAACCAGTCGATGGCCTACCTTACTGAATTTCTGAAGAAACCCGAAGCCTTTAATTACTTCCAACCACTCATGACAACACCTTCCACAGACCCTCTTCAGTTGATTAAAGTGAATTACGGTTCAATGATTCTTCAAAAGAAGTTGATGTACAATTTCTCACAGATTCAGCCACAAGTTCTCCAACAAATTAACGAATTTGTCTTTCAAAAAATATTTGAATTTCAAAAGAGTCAATTGATTGTGAAACAGCTCTCCCTTGCCATTGTCGCGTTTACATTACACGACCAGAGTTGGGGGAACTTTATCGATACAATTGTGAATAAAATACCAAACACATCTCAAAATGCCGAATTACTCACTTCAGTCTTTTTAGAAATTGCCAGTGCAGCAGAAAAAATGGATTTGGTTGACTCTTCAATGAGAGCCAAGTTCATTCAGATTATCGCACAAGCAACTCCATCTGTTCTTGACTTTGTTGTATCTATGAACTCACAGAATAGTATATCCTTCAGACTTGTTTGTTCCAACCCTCTTTTACTATAGTTTATAGTTATAAAAATAAATAAATAAAATAACACAGAAGGCCTCGGAGTGTTTATCGTCTTGGGTGAAAAATAGTGGTGTTGAGATCACTTATTATAGAAACTCACAAGTTCTTCCTTTCTTGTTACGACAACTTCAAACCCAAAATGGAGAAGCTGCTTCGACTGTTCTTGATGACTTCTTGTTTAAAATGATGCAAACGAACAAGGAATGCCAAGGACAAAAAGACGCCATTCTGAACATCACGGTACTGATTTTGCAAGAGTTTGTGAAATACGTCGATGTCATCCAAAAAATCCCGTACAGCTGCTTCTTCACTATTTCCCAGTTAATTAGTATGGACGCTTACACATACATCAAATCGCAATACTCTCAAACACTTTCTGCTTACCTCAACTTGTTAGTTGTCGCTTCAAATGTAGTTGAGGAAAACACCATTCACGATGTCTCAGAAGCAGCCATTTCATTGTTAGAAACGCCGTCATCGAAAAGGGCACAAGAGTCGAAGGAATTGTATGAATTCTTCATGCCATTTGCGAAAGCGATGTTAGAAAAGGTTGTGACCCTTCATATGGATTGCAAAAATTTAGAGGGCGAAGATTTGGAGGACTTTCTGCATTTCAGAGAGACGTCCACTTTTTATTTGGTCAGAAAGTGTGTGGACACGATTGGAAGTACTTCTTCAGTGAATATGTTGGTCTATTTATGGGAAAATGTGACCAACAAAGAAGTCATTTTGGCGTCTTTAGAAGCTGCGTATGAAGACTTGTCGATAGTCTCATCACAGCAACTCATCAACTTATTTTCGTATTCCATTCAGCTAGTCAATCAAAACACGAATGTACCAAAACAATTTATAAAAACTTTAATTGTCACAATAGGTGACTACGCAAGGTACTTTGGAGAGAACTTCCCGAACGTTATAGAGAGTTGTGTGACGTTCTTGATGAAGTACGTTGGAGCGCCAGGCTTTGGTGAAAAGGCTGCAAAAGCACTTAGAAACTTAGCTGAGGAGTCTGGAGAAAAAATTGGGTCATACCAAAGCCTCCAACAAATGTTCCAAAATGTGGTTGATACCATCCTTCAAGGCAAGTTAAAAGGAAATGAAGTGCAATTTGAGGATATAATTATCGCCTTTTGTATGTCGCTTGGAGGGAACCAAGGAGCCGTGGAACAATTGTTTATAAAAGTTGTGAATGTTTTAAATGAAACGTCCAACACATTGACGGACTCTACTATTAATGCGTTGTGGATATTAGAGACCATTTTCATTGGGTTAAAGAAGTCAAAACACCACAACGAAATTGGAATGATGATCGTCAATTTCCAGATTCCTCAATTGCTTCATAATGTCATTCAAAATGGAGTGCAGAGGAAGGCGAACAAAGTGTATGAAAAGGGGTGTGCGACGTTGGGTGTGATGTATGAAGTGACGCGGCGAAACAGTTCCCAGTTCTTTGGACAAACCACTTCATTACTTACACAGGGGTATGTACTCACGAAGAATGGATTCTTCATCTTTTCGCTCTCGAAAATCATCGACGCACTGTTCGAGTTTGACGAATTCAAACAACCGTTGAAAGAACAGTGTCTGCCACTTATTATGGAAGCGATGAAAAACTGTACAATCGACGCGAACGATGTGATCATCGATATCACAGATTGTATCTTCGGTATTGCTAAGACAAACGTCCCGGACAATTTTGTCGAAAGTGCGATGAATTGGTTGGTCTCGTTTTTGAAGGTTGCTGATAGAAGTGCATATCGTGGGATTTGTGACCAACTCGTTGATTTCATTATGCAAAATCGCGTTAATAAATATATAGAGCAACCAACTGTGATATTGAGTATCATGGAGAGCGTTGTCTCGTTGTATTCGAAGGACCGAGTCGACAACGCAAGCTTTGTGTTACGACTCATTTACAACAAAAATCCGGGTGTCTTCTGTCAGAATATGCAACTGATCTTTTCGAACAAGTACCAAGTTCCAGACGGGTTCAAACAATCACTCCTCCCAACAAATCAAAAGTACACTAAAGAGCAAATCAAAAAGATTCTGAGTGACCTCTTCTTCATCCTCAAGGAAACTGCATAACTTTCTTTTTTTATTTTTCACAAGTCAACACTTTCATTATTTTTTTATGGTAAAGTTTACGTTCTTATAGACCTTTCAATGTATACAAAATATATTTACTTTGGTTATATTTGGGTTTTTGTATTGATTCGATGGTGTTTTAATGTGATGAATTACTTGGAAATATATTGAGAATTGTAAATTAATTTCGATGACAATTACAAAAGGCAAACCACTTTTTAAAAATTGTTACTTCGTTTATGTTATAATTTTCAGTTCAAAATACTGGACGGCTTGGTTATAGAAATTATGATGCAATATGAAGAGAAAAAGATGTAAAAATGAAATTAAGATTTCTCATTTAACTCATGAAGCACTTAAAGATAGCATATATGGTTCCTCCAATGCCGAAACAGATGAGCCACAACAACAAGCAGATGATGAAGTCCATTCCGATTTCCTTTGTCTTCCACCAGATGGCCAATGGTGGGATGAAAATACAAAAGATGATGATAATGATTGTGTCAGTCTGGTCGTCTCCCATTTTGTATAGTGATTTTAGATCGGTCCTTATGAGGCTGCGCGCACGTGGCGTTACTTATGAATTTTGGATTTGTCTTTTTTAGCACATATCCTCAATTACCCGTTTTTCTGTGTATTAACGAGGCTTTAAAGGTTGTTAATAAAGCTGTAATTTTGGATATTAATTTGCTCTTGTTGAAGTCTATTTTGAACGATATGCAGCCGTAAAAACGGGAAGGACTGCTTATACAGAATTTTTTTTGTTGGTTTTGTCTTGTCTTTGTTTTTGGAATCTAAATTTCAAAAAATGTCCCCAAAAACTTATTATAATAGAATTAAAATTTATTATTTTTTAATAACAACAACTATTGTTGAAAATTATACTTCGCTTATAATAACATACTATAATTAACTAATTGTTTTTTTACTATCGAAAATCAATCAAAACTAACTGTTTTTAAATTAATTAAATAAACCACAATAATACCATTTAAATATTATAAATTGTTAATGGAGAGAGTACAATTCCTTGAGAAGACCAATTTACACTATTTGTGATTATTTTTATTATTCAATTTTTCAAGTAAAATGAATAATTCAAAATATCACAATTTATTGTTTTTTTTATCGAAAGTTCTTTGAAAACATAGAAATTATATTTTGTTGTAAAAATGGTTTTTTATTTCATTAATAATAATTCTACTTCTTAGACAATCATCTGTAAAATAAAACTTGTTTTGCGTTAAACTTGCAATCTATAATTAATAATACAAACATTAATAATGTTATAATTAATCAAATTACATTTATGTTATAAATTATAGTATAAGTAAAAACATGAATGAAAAATGCAACATATTAATTGTGGTATTAATAAGAAAAACAAACCAATCCCATTTTGAAAGAAAAAAAACAAATTTATACAAACATCCTGTTTTTGTGCAAATTAATGAATTTTTCTAATTATTTCGACTTTTTTAGTTTTTTTCATTGATTATTTGATGGTGTTATGCATTTTTTAACATATGCCGCATTTTTTTTTGTGTCTTAAATGTGTTTCTTTTTTATATTTTAAATGTTATATTTTTAACCTAATTATAGAATTATTAAAAATTTAAAATTGTTGTTTAAAAAAAATTATAAAAAAAATTCAAAAAAATAAAACTTTTTTGAAATTTTTTAAGAAAAAAATTTCTTGTTTTTTACTATGAAAAATATTATTAATATAATTATTTAGCTATTATATTTTTTTGTTTATTTATTATACAAAATTTATATAATATTGATAATTGATACAGTTAAAAATGATGAACAAAACATATATCGAATACAAGACAAAAGCAGAGTATAAATTGCACTAAAAAAGCTCCAACTCAAAGCACCAACCATTACTTATACTATTTTCAATACAACACGCTTAATATTGTCCCAAATCATAACTTTTTAAACAATCCACACAAGTGCATTGAATTGCACCTTAGATTTCAAATCATCTTATTATAAAAAATTTTCGTAACGTTGTTAAAAAATTAACAATGTATGGAATTAAATAACCAATACTTTTTAATTGAATAGTAATTGTTTGTTTTAATTTTTTCACTAAAAATAACTTTATTACAGATACCCAAAAAATAGCCCGGCACAAAAAAAAACAACCGGCAAACCATAAATTTATAGTGTATTATTGTTTTTTGTATTTTGCCATGTTTTTTCAAATTTTTATTGAAAAAAACATTAAATAGTTTTTGGAAACCATTTTGCCGGTTGGTTTTTCAAGTATCTTTGAATGTCTGAAATAATATTTATTTTACATTAGTATTGAAAATTTGTTATTTATTTTGGTATTTCTATATATATAACAATATTATGTAAAACTATATTAAAACTATTTATTTCATTAGTTCTAATGTTTCTATTATTTTATTTCCAAATAGATTCTCAAAATTACATTTTTATTAATAGTCAAACTGTTGTTATTGTTATAAATTAATTATTAATTTAAATATATTTTGAATAGCACAGATATGGGCTCAACAAAATCAATGAGTATATCCTGAAATAGTATTAATCGTCGAACTGAATAATTAACCTCCACGTCAAAAAACTAACCATATAATATAGTAAATTTAATTATAAAATAACCATTGAGATTCGTTCTGAAATCCACGTCATTGGACTTTTAAGATGGAAGACTAGAAACTTAAAAAATAATGGAAGCTAACATAGTTAACGAAGAAGAGTTTCAAAACATTATGAAAGAAATCCGTGCGAACAAACCAGAGAAAAACTGGGTCTGTTTGACTTATGAGGCACCAAAAAGTAAAAACTTGGTTGTTGCTGGGTCTGGTGATAAGGGTGTTGACGAGATGAAAGGTATTTTCCAGGAAAACCAAATTTACTTCGGATTTGTCAGAGAAACCGACCAAATTGATGACTCTGTTACTATTAAGTTTGCGTTCATCAACTATATCGGAGACAAATCTCCAAGACTCCAAAAGGCTGGTGTTGGAATGCACAGATCTTCGATCCAAGACAAGTTCGGTCAGTTCCATGTCTCACATATGTGCTCTGATGTCAATGATGTCTCCGATAAAATCATCATCGAAAAGATTAGAAACGCTTCGGGATCGGCTGTTCACGTTCTCTAAGTCTGCTAATTCACTCAAATTTACTTTGATTTTCTTTACTATACTCTTTTGTTTTATAGAATTATTATTAATAATTGTTATTTTACAATGTATTATAATATTGTTTTATTAAAATTTAATTATATATAATAGATTAAAAATAATTATTAATTTTTAATAAATCTGAGACTGATAATTGAACTTAATTTTTGAAATATAACTTTTTATTAAAAATAAATAATTCATCTTTTTAATCTAAAAATATAAAAGAAATAATGGTTTAATATATTAAAAAATGTTATTAGTTAGTAGTGTGAAATTATTTTGATTTACTTAATAACGATATTTTAAACAAATATTATATCATGTGGTAACAAGGAGTGATGAATTGCCAACTACTATATTGATAATAATTTATTATATAAATTTATTAATACAATTATTTTAATGTGACACAGGTAATATCATCTACAAAAAATACAGAAAAAATGTAAATATAAAAATTATACAATTATAGTATATTAACGATTATTTAGTAACAATAACAAAATATTTTACACGTGGCACTTCTATTTATACGACAACAATATTTTATGGTAAATATAGTAATAGAGAATAGTTTAGATTTTGGAAAGAGACCACGTCATCGGCTTACAGAGTGTTGACGTGTCTGCTTTGAGGTGAGGGTACTGATATATAAAGGGGCAGACAACTAGGAAGTCAGAAATCAAATGGATCCAAATACATGGACTGATGCAACAGTAAAAATGTTTAAAGACGCGCAACAAATCGCTTTTCAGCGAAAGGCGCCGTATATAGTGCCGATGCACATGGTGCAAGCAATCTTGGACGACGAGCAGAACATTGTTGTCCGAGTGGTTCAGATGTGTGGAGGTGACGTGATGAGGATGAAGAATGCAGTTAATGAAGAGATTGGGAAAGTACCAGTGCAAGACCCTGCGCCTGTTGAAGTTGGTCTGCACCCATCCTCACAACAAGTCCTGCGACGAGCAATGGAAAAACAGAAGGTGATGGGTGATACGTACCTTGCACTTGACACAGTGATCTTGTCACTTGTTGAGGAGAAAGAGGTTTGAGTGCA